CAGATAACCGAATGCAGATTCAGCCGTTGAAGCATGCACGACAAATGTACTCTTAGTTCGATGAGTGGAAATCACTGGGGGCTTGCTTAAGCTGCAGTATAGTGGTTGATTGAATTGGGCAAATCGAGTGGAACTGAACACGGTTTAATCGTATGGCTTCTATAATTATACGGGGGCGGGATGGCTCAAGTGGTTAGAGTGCGAATTTACTGACAGAAAACTCGGTGGTTCGAACCCAACCTCTGCCTCTCGATTTCCCCCGTCTAGGTTCCGGCAAGTACCCCAGCCCTCGTGCAACCTTCGGGTGGCATGGCAGTTAAGCACCGAAAGGGTGTTGCAGCTGAACGATTTCTTCTTTAAGTGTACGTTCAGGGGTGCTGAGCGAACTGGACGTGGCTTATTTTACCTTATTTCACTGACCGATGTTTTCATGCAGGTGTTATGAGGGGGCAGTTGTCTTAACGCTGATTGGTTGGATATGTGTTTTACCTGACATGCACCGGAGTGGTACTTGTTATTTATTCAAAATCACGAGTATCGGTTGCTCCTTCACACGTTAATCCATGTGGAAGGTGGAAGTAATCTTGATTCACATGTATTCTTCGTTTCTGGTACCTTTTTCTGCGTACCAGACGGAACATGTATTTCCACCTTCTCTTGCAGGCTTGTCTTGTTGGTCGAAAATTCAGCCCCTCCAGTTCAGACTACACTTCCCGCATGAGCTCAGTTGAGGCAGCTGTGTACAAAGAGAAACTTTCAGTTTCGGCGGCCACTTGCTTTGTGCCTCGTAGTTATCATGAACCAGTTTTGAACTGCACCCACGTTCCCCGAGACGTCACTCAGCTCGTATCCCATAGGATATTTACCGAACTATTGAGGCAGCCACCCAACTTGGACTGGCTTCATTCTTACCGACTCGTCGTATCCGAATCGGGACAGATTCAAACGTCGGACGGTCGGTGGTGGAACCCAGGTGGTAAGTTTCTGCCATTGCCTCTGTGTGGTCCGCATTGTTCCGGCTGTTAGCTGTACACAAGAGTAGCGATTTAAATGTCCTGTAATGCATGTTTTCGCTTCAACGGACCAGCAAATTCGTTATCTTCCCGTGTAGTGTACATCATAACTGACACGCGCCCTTGGAACCCGTGGCGCCATCTCAACTCTCATTCACAAATGGGATAGTTTGCCTTTAGTCACCATCTTTTTACGGTCTGCAAATCTTGACTGAATCAATCACAGTTGTAAAATTCCTCAGCGACCTTATCTTTACTTCCAACTACTATTGAACACACACCACACGCTAAAAATAATGAGAAACCCCTGCGGTGGATGAGGTCACGAGGTCAAATCTTAACCACGTATGTCCACCTCACTTGGCATATCTGTCAAATCAGGGTGACTGTTCCCCAAGACGACCTCGGATTGGTTCTACTTGAAAAGCTTCTGCACAAAAGATGCGTTTTTCATAGCCTAAGAAGCATGACTAGACAGAGTCTGTGGCGCACAATCTTGTTCCGTCTTAGCAGGGTAATAAAGCCGAAAAGCAAGGTCAGAGTCTTCTCTCGACTTGGACTGCTCCAGTATTTAACCAACTTTTGTAAGATGCTCCGCACCAATTTATATATCGCTTCCCAGGTCCCTTGAAACGTTCTCTTACACTATCGTTGACAGTCATTCTGTTATGGTAGGTGCTAGGCGGAACTGCACACGGATCCCTCTTTATCTCTCGCAGTCAGATGCTGCTACGGCCGAGAAGACCATCCCAACCAAGACTGGCCAAAGACTCGGGACGCTTGCCGGTCCGGCATCAGGCCGGGATCTGATTGGTTGAAATTCTGGACCAAACAGCCAATCATGGCCCAATATTGGCCGAATGCAGGTTGCCAATGACGCATCCGGAACGCGTCAGAATTTCCAGAAAGTCATTTCCGCCTGCGCTATATATATGAAGCGCTGTACATGTGTTCTTGACTTCGTTCTGGGTGTTAATATACCTTCTGCACCTTTGGTAGTTGTTATGCCGTGAACGCTAGTTTCGCAGGCTCAGACCGAGAACGAAGCTGAGAAAAATACCGTTACTACAATAAGTGATTGTGAAAGATCGGCCCTCGGCGCCTTTTTTCAGGTTTGCAATCTCTGTTGGGTCACACAATTAGAGGTGATATCTCACCCGATCACATCCATATCAGTAAATGTTCTGTCGTCCGAGCTGTTCAACCAGGATCATGA